CTACCATTTAGGTTGTTTGTACACTCTGGCCCTGCTCTAATTTCTGAAAGACCCTTGGCTAGATTTGGGCTTCATGCTTTATGATTTGTTTGGTTACTACAGGTCATTTTGCATACTTAAACAAGTTTACCACCATCATTTCCTTCACAGGCACTTCTCTCTAAAACAGCAGCAACTCTCCATTTCCATCTCCCAGTGTATCCTCCAATCTGTTTCTGAGCCACTCTCTCTCACACACACAACTATCCTTGTGCTCTAAATATGTAGTTTAACATTCATAGATGATTAAAACCATCTCTGACATGGCAAGCTACATTCAGTTCAAATTTGGGGATAGTCAAGAGTCTCAAACATATTAACTGTAGATTCTATGTTCCCACTCCTCATTACATACTCAATAAGACTCTGGCTGCGATCAGAGGGGTCAGTTGCTCCAATGTTGTGGTTGCTCTCTACCAGATGGAAAATCATTATCTACACAACTCATCCTGGCCTGGCAGCTGCAGCCACTACACAACCGTGCGCAACCCAGTGCCAGTGGCCACCATGCCACTGGGCTTGGGCTGGCACAAGCAGCAACCACCATACCCCCAGGCCTGGCCTGGTGCTGGTGGGCATCGCACAGCTGGGCATGGCCCAGCAGTGGCAGCCACTATGCAACTGAGAATTGCCCTGTACTGGGGGCCACCAAACAACTTGGCCAGACATTTCTTGGGGAGAGACTGCCAGGGGTACGGAAGGGTGGAAAGCTGAAAACAGAGCTGCTAATGGCAGGTTAGCTGGTTGGTGGGAAGGAGAAAAGGAAGCAGGAGAAGGGAGAAAGACAGTGAGGGCTGCCAGGAAAGGGAACAAAGAGATAGTGGGGGTGGGGTGGGGATCGAGGGGGAAACGAGAGGCCCCCTGCAAGTCTTTTGGCTCCCCCTCTTGTTTGCTTGTAATTCCCACCAACATGGCAGGCGTCCCAAAGTCTAGCTCATTAGCACAATGACGTCTGTTACTTCCAAATTGGGGAAAAGGCAACAACCCTTAACCTGGGCTCTGGAAATACTCCAGTTCATGTTCTTTAGAAGCTGGAACAGAGTAGTGGCTTAGAAACGTAAGCTATGACTGGACACAACACTCCAAATGGGGTCTGACCAGTGCAGTGTACAGCGCTATCATCACACTGTGTGTCCTACAATACACTGTCCATCTGTCGATACACTCCCTAGGATCGAATTTCCTGTTTGCTGCCGCATCACATTGGCAGCTCATACTCAGTTTGCAGTCTACCAACCCTCCCAAGATCCCATTATTGTTTCAGTGCTAACACATGAATTGCCAATAGATCTGTATGCCTCAAATGGACAGGCAGGAAGGAACCAATGGTGGGGGGAAACCCTGCAAAAAACCAAACAAGATAATTCTGATCTGGAATGGCAGCTGCTGGATGGCGTGGTCACTATTTCCTCCCTCCACAAATTAAATGCTCCAGGAACCAAAACAGGCAATATGTACATTCTGCATACCTAGCACCATACGTCTCTAGAACAGTGCCACAATGCTAGATAGTCTCTATATTGTTAATAGCCTCATTTGACTGATGACCAATAACAAGCAAGCCAAGAATTCTACCAAGTATCCAAAGTCATTTGCTTGGAAGCATTATTCTAAGGCATGAATAGGATGGATGCGTAATTTTTGTACTGGAGATGCCTTTTCAGGAAGATGCCCACTTTGCTAGAAGACATGCAGGGTACTCTGACTAACTCTCTGGTTTGAGATTGTGTATGGATGCCACTTTGGCCAGGGAGCCTGGAGAAGCTGCATGCTGATTTTGGCAGTTTATAGTCATGGTAGGAAGGCCATAACTCACACAGGCAATTCAGTATTGAAAACAAGTTGTATGGTAGGCTTGCCAAGTCCCCCCGGGGGGTGGGGAAGCCCCCGCTCCAGAGGCCCATTCCCTGGCGCCGACAAATCGGGCTCCGGGGGAAACTCTGCCCCGACATGCGTGTCACCCGGAAGTGACGGGAGGACGCCAGGCACGCTGGGGGCGGGCCCATGGCCATACAAGGGAAAACTCTATGGTTTTCCCTTGTATGGCCATGGCCCCGCCCCCAGCATGCCTGACGTCCTGACATCATTTCCGGGTGACGTGCTTGCGGCGCGCGCACACCAGACGCCAGCCGGGAGCCCCCCGCTCCCGGCAAAGATCCACTTGGCAACCCTAAGTTCTACTATTTGGGGGGGGAGAAGCTTTGTTAACTCTCTCCACCTTATCATAATTTTATAAACCCCTATCATGTTGCTCCCCCCCCCCACAGTTGTCTCCTTCTAAACTGAAAAATTCCAGACTCTCCAGCCTTTCCTCATACAGAAGGTCCTCTAACCCCTTGGTTGCCTTCTGCACTTTTTCAATGCAATGTTCTTTCTCAGATACTGTGACCAGAACTGCACAGAGTATTCCAGATGAGACAATTTTACTTTCAGTCCCTTGCCTAATAACCCTTAACATACAGTTCACCTTTTTGCTTTACAGTTTTATAATTCTCTTTTTTGAATCTTGAAGCAAGACAAAATATTAGTCATTATATTCTTCATTAGCAGAAGCTGTCTGTGGCTAAAAAACCCCCAAGGAAATGGACTCCCAGGGTGTTCACCATATAAACATTCCACAGTCAATATTATTACAACAGAATATATATTTTAGCTATGACAGTTTAGAGGACATTGTACTTAAGCTGGTTTGTATGAACTGGGTATGGGTAGGGGAAAAGGGTGACGTCTGCCACCCCACCTGGGGGCAACAATATGTCCTCTCTACAGATCCACTGAAACCATGTGTGGGACATGGGGGGAGCTGTTAGCTGTAATACTTGGTCTCTGTTTAAGTTGTGATGGGGGAATTTAGCTAAAAGACCATTTGCTTAATAGGCGCACAAGCTAGGGATCGTCCTCCAGCTATACCAGAGTCAGAACCCGCTTGGAGTGGAACAGACAACAGACAGGAAATATCTTCATGAAATTTATTAAGGAAACAACCCTAATACATTTAGCTATATCATAAAATATCACACACGCATACACACACACACCAGACCTAGGAAATAAAAGGGGCGAAGCGATCTTAAGAGATCAGAGATAAAAGAGGGCAAAGCGTTGATGGGGATAATAGCTACCTTCTGAAGAGAAGAGTCTGCGGCAAACAGCAGACAGCTTGTCCAGCAAGCATGTCTGTAAAAATCCAAAAGGGTTGATGGATCCAGCTGGTACATGTCCCAGGAGACTGAACCAAAGATGGCTGGGTTTGGAGCCCTGATATAGGAAAATTGTGCCTCCGGGGCAGTGGGCACAATAGGGAAATGGTCCAGAATGGACCGTAATAGCCGGTAATGGCTCAAAAGGGGTTTTGGACAAAAGAAGTCCAGGTTTGGGAAGGGAAGCCTTTGTTAGTAAGTCATGGGGCAGTTGCAGAATCTTGTCTCCATTAATGGCTGGGCTACCCAGAGAATAATAACAACAATAGACTGTGTCTGGGGTGGTCCCAGTATCGAGGGACAAAGTCCAGAGGTTTGATTGTGAGACACAGAACTGGAATGCAGGTTTGCTGACACCCTTGAGATGATGAAATTAAAGACACTGTCCTTTCACAATGACAGATACATGCTTGCTGTATCTGAACTGATGGCTGGATGAGTCAGGGAGAGATGGTCCTGAGCACATGTCTGGGCTAGTTAGCTTTGCACAGAGAGAGGGCTATACTTTGCTAACTTTGGCCCTAACCTGGCTGGGGTACTGTCCTTCACGTGGCAAGGGGAGGCTTAGACAAACAGAGTTGGTTCCTGCAACTCATGGATGTAAGGACTTCAAATCTTTCCTGAGTTCCCCTCCCTACAGCAGTCCTTTACAATCTCAGGAGTTTTTATTAGACCTTGTGTGGTATAATAGTCACATGGACTGGGAGGCTGCAGTGGAGAACTGAAAGGGGGAGAAACAGTACTTTCCTCTCTCACCCATCATGAAAGTCCATGGGTAATTTTTCTCGCTTTTCCCCTTTCCCACTGCAGCCTCATGGCTCCACAGAACTAGGCCCCCCGATCTACACCATACACTCTCTACTTTTCAAGATGTATGAAAGTCAGGTTCTACCAAGATTATGCTATTGGTTAGTGCTTTTGAGCAGCAGGGACAAGGGAGCCAAATTGCGTTCTTATTACTACTACTAAGTAATTCTCTATATAAAATCACACAAAAGAAGAAGAAGAGATTGGATTTATACCCCACCCTTCACTTGGAGTCTCAGAGCGGCTTACAAACTCCTTACCATTCCCCTCCCCACAACAGACACCCTGTGAGGTGGGTGGGGGCTGAGAGAACTCTGACACAAACTGCTCTTTTTCCAGAACAGCTGTGCCAGAGCTTGTGAATGACCCAAGGTCACATCAGCAGGTGCAAGTGGAGGAGTGGGGAATCAAACCCGGTTCTCCCAGATTAGAGTCCGCGCACTTAACCACTACACTCAACTGGTGTTAAAAAGTGTTCAGACTTCCAGTGAATTTCACATGACTACAGGGCATTTAAATCTATAGCATCTCCTTTTTACACAATGTAATTTCAAGCACAGTTTAAATACTTTGCTATATTTGGTGATGAAAAGTGCAGTCAAGTCAAGGCCAACTTATGTTGACCCTTCGGGTTTTCAAGGAAAATCCCCCAAAACAAACAGGTGGGTTGCCATTGCCTGCCTCTGTGTAGCAATCCCAAACTTCCTTTGTGGTTTCCCATCCAAGTACTAAACAGGTCAACCCTACTTAGGCTCCAAAATCTGATGTGATCAGGCTAGACTGGTCATCCAGGTCAGGGCTTGCTATATGTATTAGGTTATATTTTAAAAACATTATATATACTCCCCCTGCCCCATATTATGTTTGTAGACTTCTCCATCCTTTTTTTAAAAACAACAACAACAACCATACATGGGAATTAGAAGGATAATGATACAAGTTAATTGTACTTACTCCTGTTATGTAGCGAGGTCTATACTGGATGGTTCCAAATAAGCCAAGTATGACTATAATAATGTGTACAAAATTTGCCAGGATTGGTGCCCACTGATAACCCAGGAAATCAAATATCTGTCTCTCCAGCACACATACCTAGAATTAAACAGCAACAAAGATTTGATTAGCACAGTTCGGGGGGGGAGAGCCAAAAGTGAACTTTGAAAGGCATTCCCCTCTCCCCCATAAACAACTCTAGAAACTTGTCTGCACTATAAAAGTAGATCAGGAAGCAAAAGCTAAACTCAAAACAGGATGACTTTGCAACAGTTCATTCATGCTTCCCTGAAAAGAGCATTTTTAATGACAGTCCACTGAGTTACACTCAATTAACTAAAATATTCATGTGGGTAATTCTCCTTAGCTATGAATCCCCCCATGCAAGGTGAAACAGTGGGAGCACTTATCGCTTTGGCCCTTTCTGCACTCTTCTTTTAATCCATGTTCACTGTGGTGTCCTCCAAGCAATTCTGTACTAAAATCAAATTCAACCTTATTTTTAATCCAAGTTCAACCTTCTTTTTATTCCAGGTTTCCCCCACATTCTTTATTACATTACCCCCCATCAGTGGTCAGCCCAGTTTCAGCCTGCCATTCCCCTGGGTTATTTGGATGCTGTTTTGTCGTGGACCTAAATTGCCTCGACTCAGACATCGAGAAAATCTGGAATGGCAGGCAAATGTGGAAAGGAACTTTGTCACAAAGTGCTTCTAGGGGTTCTACATGTCTGGCTAGTTTAGAAGTCCTAGGTAAATATGTCCGTCATGTATCCTGATAGTGCAGAGTCATCCTTTATGGTATCTCCTACTTCAGATGTTTTGTTTAGCAAGTTATCAAAGGTAATTAGTATGTAGCAAAGTCTTAATAGAGCTGCTGGTGAATATAATATAAAGGGAGAGAAATTGTTTATATCTCATACAAACATACATGCAAATTGAGTTATTTCAGGGCTACTTAATTTACCCTACCAGTGTAAGAAAGCAGCTGTAAAGTGACAGGAGGAGTGTGTTCTTGAAACAGAGAAGGGATCCAATCAAAGAATAAGATATAGAAAACGAAGACTGGAACAAGACTGCATTGCACAGATAACATGTAATCAGACAGCTGAGCCCCAGCATGCTCTGCACCATTGAAAGAGATACTTGGGCACAGATGCACCTCACAGTCTCATAAACGTTTGCTACCATTTAGGTTGTTTGTACACTCTGGCCCTGCTCTAATTTCTGAAAGACCCTTGGCTAGATTTGGGCTTCATGCTTTATGATTTGTTTGGTTACTACAGGTCATTTTGCATACTTAAACAAGTTTACCACCATCATTTCCTTCACAGGCACTTCTCTCTAAAACAGCAGCAACTCTCCATTTCCATCTCCCAGTGTATCCTCCAATCTGTTTCTGAGCCACTCTCTCTCACACACACAACTATCCTTGTGCTCTAAATATGTAGTTTAACATTCATAGATGATTAAAACCATCTCTGACATGGCAAGCTACATTCAGTTCAAATTTGGGGATAGTCAAGAGTCTCAAACATATTAACTGTAGATTCTATGTTCCCACTCCTCATTACATACTCAATAAGACTCTGGCTGCGATCAGAGGGGTCAGTTGCTCCAATGTTGTGGTTGCTCTCTACCAGATTTGAAGTGCATGATCAGATGGCAATATCTGCCTACTGTCCCTCAGTTGTCACTCCCCATCCTTCCCAACATCCTTCCCAACACTACCCATCCTTCCCAACACTAAATAAAGTCCAGAGTTTATGACTAAACTTGTCTCACCGCAGATTTCTGGGCATCTGATATCTTCCTTGCATGCTCAAGCCACTTGGTGAGGTCTGACACTTCTGGTCCCCAGCCACCATTTTTTTTTGCAGTTAGCGATGTGTGCATAACTGCATATCTGCTCCTAGCAAATAAGCTGTTATGCACATGTGCACATTAGAGGGTTTTTTTAAAAGAAGCTGCCTGCCCACCCTCTCTATAGTGACCATGCAGCAGTGGTCTGAAAGGTCAACTGAAGGGCGAGGCAGGAATAGGGTAGCATGTCTGGTTGCACCTCTCTGGAACAAATAGCTTCGGAGACTTTGCCAAAGCCTGCCAGACTGTGCCAAAGCCTGCCATCTGATTGCAGCCATAAACAGTTTATTTTGCTTTTGCTCTCTTATACTTTCAGTACTCAAGGAAGAGGGTGGGGGCATTTTAGACTAATAGATTTAGTATGGTTTAAATTTTATTGGATATATTATGCCACATTCAAAAGCATAAAGTGTTAGGGTCACGTACACAGTCATACAATACAAGCATTGTAAATAGTGAGGACAAATGGCCATTTAATGCAAAAATTACTGTGTGCCATTTCTGTGCGCATCTCCAATATGTATGAAATAAGGACAGTAGCCATTCATAACAACAATTGGTGATAATGACACAACCTTTCTTACCTAAGTTAATTTAACGCCTTCAGTGGGAGAGGAAACCATTGCTCAGACTGGGAATATCTATGCCTTTTGGTCGTTAAGGTGTCACTATACTCTTTTATTGGTTTGGCGGCAACAGACCAATATAGCTACCTTTTCTTGGAAGTTGTTATCAAGAAACTGAGGAAGCTGAAACATAATGAAAAGGAAAAAAATGCCTGTTTCAGGAACATGGTGTTCATGCTAAATCAGAATTCAGTAGATGAGACAAAAGCAAAAGGCCAAGTTCAATATGGGCAGAATGTACATTCAGGTATCAACCCTGAACGATGCAGAAATAAGGCACACATAGGGCATAAACTTAATCAAAGCATATACTCTAGTAAAAGGGAAAGCTGAGGCACTTCTGGGAAACTTCCTTTTTCTGGCATTAGGAAGGGGGGGTGCCACCAGGTATATACTAAGAGCTGCAGCAAGCAACACTCCCTCTAAGCTGTGGAGTCTTGTGAGCAAAAATTCTACTTTGTGAGCTACTGGCATTAAAGTTGTGAGCAAACAATTTGGCTACTGCATAAATTATTTTGCTCTGGAGCCATCCTTCCTGAGCTAAGACAAAAATGTGTGAGCTGGTGGATAAAAAACTGTGAGCTAGCTCACAGTAACTCAGCTTAGAGGGAACACTGGCTGCAAGTACAAAGTAGGTTGTCCAGTAGTTCTGGTGCTTAATCAGATCTTGAGCAAAGATGACAAGATCACTGTAGAACTAATCATTACTGCCACAGCGTAATCACAGGAATTATCCAGCAACACTGGCATAAACTTTAGAGGACAGTCCAACTACTTAAAAAGTTTGTATAGGAAATGATGTCAAGGGGGCACAGTATATCAGTCAGGACCAGTATTCCCTCTAAGCTGAGTTAGTGTGAGCTAGCTCACAGCTTTTTAGCCTCCAGCTCACACATTTTTGTCTTAGCTCAGGAAGCAAACTAATTTATGCTGCAGCCAAATCGCTCACTCACAACTTTAATGCCAGGAGCTCACAAAGTAACATTTTTGCTCGCAAAACTGCACTGCTTAGAGGGAGCATTGGTCAGGACAGCTTGAACAGCAGAAGAATGTGGCACTGTTCTTTCTCCACCTTCTTTGCCTTGTAGGATGGCTACTTGTGCCTCAGATGGAAAATTCATACAAATCCCTAGGCCCTGTGTTCCTATGACTGTTACTATAATGCAGCTGTCTCCCCCCCAAATAAAAGAATATACCTCAAGGTTAGATAGGTAAAGCCTGATAAACAGGAGCAAGTTTTATATCAAGGTAGTCTCTAATTTTGGAAGCCAGTTTGAGCCATGTGTCTATCTTGCTCTTGCTGACACATAGTAACAAGATTTATATCAATCTATTATAAAAACAGCACCTTGGAAAAGCCAGTCATGTGGAAACTCTTTTCTATGTTAGATGTTCAATATTGCTTATTTGTAATTTCCATGCTACAGGGCTTGTTATACACAATATCATCTTTGAGATCCTATTTTGCAAGGAACTGGTAGTCTCCATACCATATTTGATTTCCTATTCATTAGCACTGGCAATAACAAGTCAAGCACGAATCTAATGAGACATGGTTGCATTCTACGCACCCTACAAACTAGAGATTGAATCAGCAAAAGATATTTCAAGTAACACATGACAAAAAATGAGATGATATCAATACATGAACTTATTTTTACTATTTTATCATTTGAAATATTATGCTTATATGTCCAAATTTATAATTGTGATATATTCATTAAAAAAAAACTTCAAAGGAAAATTTAAAAACCTACCCCAAAAGGAAAGGATACATCAAAACTGGCAAATGAGTCATGCAATTATGTATAGCATACCCTTTTCAGGGTATTTTCCATGAAAAATAATATTGCACTTTGTGACCTCCCCCCCCCCACTAAATTAGTCCAGGATAATGGCACAAAAAATGGCTCTCATGGAGAGAAATATGATGAACATAATTTAGAGATACTTAGGTGTGAGGTTTTACAAGATTGCTAAACATTTTGGTGCAAAATGTACAATTGCCAATAGTTAACTATGCTCATGTGACCAAAGCCTTCTGAAGGTATTGCTCTGCTAATGGGTAAGATCAACAGTGGCCTGTACACATTCTCTGTTGTGGCTCCCACCTGATGGAATGACGAGGTCAGAAAAGGCTCCCACATTTTTTAATTTCATAGAATGCATAAAATGTTCAGGAGGGCCTTTTTATAAAGGTAACAGGGTTATAGTGAGGCCTGAACTAGACTTGACATGCAACTCACAGCTTTGTTCATTTTTATATGTTATACTATTCCACTGTTGCTTTAATTGTTCAGGGGGACAGCTTATTAAAGGAATAGAGTTACGGTTTCATAGACATTAACCAAAACCCTGATTTCTTTTATAACCCGCTCCCCCCCCCCAATACAAAACTGGATTATAAAATGACAGAAACAATGCAATGGTATGGTGTATAACAATAAACTGTTTTTCTAACTGTTCATAGATGACTTAGGTAGTTTTCACTGCTGTGTTTGCTGTATACAGCATCCTGTTGCATTGCTTCTGTAATTGTGTAATCCAGTTTTCTTTCTTTGTTTTAAGTATTACATTACTTTATTGTATATATTATACTGTTTAGTACACT